AACTAACCATGCTTTGTGTAAAGGTCACCACCAATAATGTACATAGTAAATGGGTTTAAATTTTATAAAATAACATATATCTGCACGTGTGGTTTATGAATCCGTGTTGTGTTTTACCCGAGCTATCAGATTTTTTGAAAAAAAAATTCAAAACTCAAAAAACAGTATTTTGCAATTTAATTTTGAAACACCAAAACCGAAAACTCTAAAATCTTGTAGACGTGTTAAAATTGTCATAAGCATGGTAAACTTTTAATCATAAAAAAAATAATCACGACATCTTAAGATTTTGCCAAATGAATCCTATCTAAAGTGTGCAAAATATGATGAGTATACTTGTGATTTATCATTGCATTCGTATTTTTACTTCCCGGGCGTAAGCGAAGGAAGTTTTGTAATCGCCTGCATCGCTCCCTACTCTTATGTTTTCTCGACCTTTCGTGACCCCTGGAGTACGAAGAAATAGGTCACTGATTTCCGTCTGTCTGTCCGCTGTCCGTGACAAATTTTTGTTCTATTATGCTCTGAAACTACTGGACCGATTTTTGTCAAATTTTGTAGGTAAGTATATTAGAAATATCAAATAGATGGTAAGACGCTAACCGAAATTTGTCTAATCATTCCCATCAAAAACGTGATGGCATCTCGTCAATATTTTCCAAAGTAAGTAGGGTTTAAATTTTGTAAAATAAAATTCTCCTTATGAATCCGTCTTCAGATTTTCCCCAAGCCATCCAATCTTTTATACGAGCATATGCGGACTTCGCACAAGGTGACTTGCTAGGTTATAACAAAGAAGATTAACTCGTGTCGGTACTTTTGATCTTTTGCTAGTCAATTTTGGTGACCTTCAGACATTTTGTTGGGGGAATTTTAAAAGTTGATTTTTATCAAAATGTTGACATAAATAATTTGTCTGTCATTTATGTCGGAAAAATTGGTCGCACGTAAATTTACTTTATCAGTTGATCCCAAGGTAAAATTCATCGCAAAGTACTTTGTTTTACTAAAATTAAATTTTTTGTATTTTGATTCTCAAGTTACAATAAATTTAAAAAATACTTCATTACTATTTATTCTCATAGATCAATAAAAAGCAAAACGAATGATAAGCAGCAAAAAGTCGGTTTTATTTTTAACTGAAACTGAAAGTGTTTACATCGTTTTTGTTCGAACGTTTTTCCACCTACGGTTTAAAAGGTGGATCAGTTTGCCCCATTCGAGTTTTAATTTGTTTTTTCTACATTTCCACACTACTACGGCACGTGATACGGTGGTTAAAATTATTGCATATATTTGGAAACCACAATGATTGATAACTTGATGTCTACTACAAAACAATGCGAAATTTATTAAATTATGAGAAAAATGTAGTAGACAAGATATTTATTTTCGAAGATGAATCAACAAGCAAAAATACAGCAATTCATGATTTTTTTTTATCACTCGGTGCGTTGTAATAATGCAGGGTGTTGTGGAATTCAATGCAAAAAATTTAACCGGTTATACAACTCATCATTAGCGTACACTTTTCTACATATATTACAGTTTCTTCAAAACTTTATTGTTCACAATTAAAATTGAACATACATGGACTATGAAAATCGCTACCCGCCGATGTGTATTTAATAGGTACCTACCTTCTTCGATGCAACAAAAACCAGCCGCGCTTCACAAAAACGCACGCTTACACCAGGTAATAAGATCTCCGCTCACATGTGTTGATGAAAAAAGCAATAATAAATACAAGAAACCCAATTTATTCCCCAAAGGGCTCATTTATTAACAACAAAATAAACACAAATATGCTGATCAGTAGTACTGTGCGTTGGCACAAGAAATACTAAAATGTCGGATGGAATTACACAGAGTTTTTGCAAACTTAACACTTGACAAATTGTTTCACTTCAACGATAATGATATCATGAAATACATATTATGTAGATGTCTGCAGTACCGCAGTTCACTTATTATAAAAGTTTTTCAAAATGCCTCCCCTCTCTGTTAATGCATGCATCCGGACCATATAAGTCTGTAAGCTTTTACTCATAATCGGATTTTGAGCAATTGTTTCAGCCACAGCATTCACACGTGCAGTTAGTTCTTCCACAGAATTAACGGGGTTCGCGTACACTGTCTCCTTCATATGTCCCCACAAAGAAATCACAGCATATTAACTCCGGGGAACGAGGGGACCACAGCACTGGTTCATTTTTACCAATGCACTTGCTTTCAAAATGCACATGTAACCACTAGGTAATACAAGTTTCTAGGGGTTGCACACCTTGAAGGTGGTATGGGTGTAGTATTTGCTCATGATGGGTCCGCTATACAATAAAGATCGAAATACCCATGAAAAATGCCAATCGACACATGCCGATATTGGGCTCTTCGGCAACAGCATCTAAAATTTCGGGTTCCAGTGCCTGTACCCGAGGTGTACGGTGATGATCACTCACCATGGTGATCGTGGTCTGAAATTTTCTGAAATTACGTAGTTGTTAAACTTGGGAAGTGGTCACTGTACAGAAGTCTCGCCTCCTAGGCGTTGTCCAAAGATTTGTATCACCTTTTACACTGGGAAAACTACTCTAACACTGAAAATTCACTGCACTGCACGTTTTTAATCAAATCACAACGCACTGAGTTGTTTTTGCGCCAAAAACTTACGCTAAGAGTTTACCCAAAAACTTGTCTATGTCAACGAAAGTAAATTTGTTTTGATACCCTGACCGGCTCGTCAAAACGAAGGTGGGAAAAAGGCCGAAAAATGGGTTTTCGAAAAAGATGTTACACAGCAAAGTTTCATGTATTGGTGAATTCTACTACCAGTTATTTTTTTGCATTCAGTTCCATGACAGACTGTATAACGTTTATCCCCAGAATACTGAAAACACACTCTTAGTTTAGCTTTGTTTAAATAATGCCAGCATGGTTAGCGAAACGCGTCGACAAATATTTTGTGTGATTTGTGTGCTGTTAGATAAACGTTATATTACAACAATTCATGTCTGAACGCAACTGATAATAAAGTGAAGATTCTTAAGGAAACGAAAAAATAAAGTTAGAGAAAACTTTTGATAACTGAAGATTAAAATTGCGTTTGTTAAAAACATACCAATTTTATAATTTAAGCAGCAACCGTAGGAATGATCATCGAAAAAACTACTTGGGCAGAGACGTAGGAACTTCTCCGAGATGTTAGAATTTTATCGTTTATAGCAAGATTAAAATTTTTAGAATACAAACATTATAAATGTACAAACTTATAACAAGTATACTTAATTTTTATTATCTAATGATTTTTGGGAGGGTGTCGTTCTACAACGCTCAGACGTTTCGCGGAAACAATTACTTCCGCATCAGAGACGCAACAAGAGCACGTGGCGATACCCACCTCCGCTGCCCCCAAAGGAACGCTTGTAACCTACATTAAACTTGTTTTAATTGCGGCAATTCGTATTTGAAAATGTGCCATCCGCTGTTCGCCCTCCCTATTAACTGCCACCTCATAACCGAAGTTTATGGAGTCATTACCTTGCGGATGGAGACGGACAGGACGTCTTGGAGAAGGAAGCGCACAGTCCCTTTTTGCCCCCTGGAAGGGAGGAATGGATAATAAACTGTCTTACAAACGACAGTAATTAAACATGGTCCTGACTGGTTAAATGGGGGCGAGTCGTCGGAACTAACGTTATATCTTGAGTGGGGAGAGCATGGGAGGGGAGTCAGCGTCGTATATAGGAAAATATTCCGGATTCCGAGCACAAGTTCGTGGATTTAATGATGCATTTCTTAACATAAAGACAGAAGGTTCTGGTTTTTTACATGGACTTTCTCAATTCAGTCACTAGCAGGGCTTTTTCAAGATATGTTGATATATAACTTTTATTTCCTGACCTATAAATTGAGCAAAGTATTTATGGATTTGTTTTTATATGAATATGTAATTTCGCGAAATTGGTGTTTCACAGATGGGAGAAAACGAGTATTTTTTTGTTTGCTTGCCTCTCTTGTGAAGTCCATTTATTCTAAATTTATTAAACCAATCAATCATCTTCGAACCAATAATCCGAGACAAAAACACAACTGTGTTATCATACTTTACTCTGTTTTTAAAGAATCAGAAGTTGAACAGGAACTGGGAACCACTTAGGTTTAGATTGTGCGGTGCGGCTTTGTGTACTAGAAATATTAGGTCCATATAAGTATTCTTCTCGTTATAATAGCCAATTTTATCTTCCACTATTTTTTGAAAATATGTTAACGGCAGGTTAAAAAGATCAGCTACCCATCATTCTGTGTTAAATTTGTTCATTGTTTCTACAACAAATTTTCAGTTATTAAAACCGAAAAAAACATACAGTAATCTTAAAAACTATATTACTAATCTATAAAATTACAAACTTTAAACTTGGTTAAATAGAATCCTAATATTTGTAATATAACGCCTTCGTTCCTGAAACCCTTTACCCAAAATAAATGCAATAAAATATTCAGTAGTCAGACGTAATTTGTTTTGTAAGGCAGCAGTTCAAAACAAGCGCTTAAATTTAGTGTGAGTAATGCAGTATTTTGTACAGCAAAATAGGTATACTAACAAAATTACGGACAAATTTGGAAAAACCACGGACACACCGGGGCAAACGGACAATGGCAAAATCAAAAAAAAAATTTAAATTTGTTTTTTAACCTTCGATATTTCAGACAGAATCACTAGACTCACTTCTCGTTTCGAAGAGTGTTGTCGGACGAGATGACATTCTATGGCGTAAAATTTATTATAATAAGATGTAGTCCTTCTTTTGAATATAGACTTCACACAGTTTATGCTGTGTTTCATTTAACATTTATTTTTCTTGCGCAAGATTACTTTAGGGATAATTTTGACGCATTAAAATGGAAACGACACATAAATAGAAAAAGTGTAAAATGTGCCTCCACCGACATTAAAACCAAATAATTTTAAGAAGTTATTTTATGTCTTCTAATGTACTTACTATTATGGTGGCCGTCCAGTGCACGCAGATTTCTAAAACAGAAACAAATACTTTAGTGGAGTACTTAACCTACGTTATAATGACTATTGTATACAATGTGGTGAAAAATAAGGAAACAATTAATTAAAACAATTAGTAATAGATATTGACAAAATCTTGGGAGAGAACAGACTATGCCATTATAATTATCAATGTTATGAATTGTTCCGGTTCGAAGTTTTCTTTCTTTGTGTATATACTTAGTGTATTTGTTATTTTTCCCGCGGAGTACTGACAAGTGTGTTTCGGTCACCTTCCGCTATGGGCGCCATAGTACCAAGCCAAAAACCCCGGTACTAGGGGTTGGTGTTGTTGTCGTTTAACCTTCGTGAAGGTGGCACCAGAGATTTCTTAGTAACCTAGATACGGTGATCCTATGCAAAAGCGAACATACGTCCTTGGCCAACATGTACACTATGCGTTTTGCTTTCCATCTTCTTTTACAGCATGGGAACGCAGGAGTATGATTTTGTAGGTCTTTGTTTAAACCTAGCAATTTACGATTTTGCGCAGTAAACCCTTAAATTCTGCTAGCGCAAGTCGGTTCTTAATTCATACAATCGCCGGTGTTTGTGTGTTTGTTAGTTTGTTATCAGAGATTTCTTAGGTTATAAGATTTATATCACGGTTATAAGTTTAAATTGCATAGAATTTCTAAAAATGGGTTACAGAGTGTGTGTTGTATGCAAAGAAAGATCTAATAATTGTACATTAACTTTTCATGAGTAAGTATTTTTGAAACGTATATTTTATTTGTATTATATATAACATAAGTACATATTATAATGAGCCAGTTTATCAGATACTTTATTTGAGGTTAAGTTAATCAAGCAATTATTAAAATGAGGCGTTTAGCCACCTGCGACGTCTGATTGTGAGTGAATCACGTGGCATGCAGTCAAATATTTAATTGAGCTTCTGTAAACTGGCCCATAATACAAAAAATAAATCCCCAACAATCGTTTTTGCCTTGCATTAACTTGTATCGTTTCCTTTTAGGTTACCCAAGAACAAGTATCGGCGTGATGCTTGGATTTCTGCTTGCAAATTAGATGAGACTAAACTCAAACAATCTTCTGTAATTTGTTCTAAACATTTTCACGACAATGACTATAACTCTTTAATAATGGCAAAAAGAAGGTTACACAATAAAGCGGTGCCATTTTTGGATCCAGGTGTACAAAATGCCACTGAAAGTTTTGTGAAAAATCTACAACTTCCTATTGCAGCAGGATCAAGTGGTCTGAATTTGCCAATAGAGAATGAATCTGGTGCAGTAGGTAACGTAACTCCATTAATGGTTTTACAATTAGGTATATGTATTAAGTACATTTTCCAGCATGTTCACCTATAGAAACAATTGAAACTCCTAGTGCAGATAAACAACAAAGTCACGTAATTGTGGGTAGTATTAAAACTCCTCGATATGTTGGTGATTTGGTGCCAGAAGATTTTGCTACTCCCAGAAAAGCAAAAAGACATCTTGATTTTGTGAAGAGAGCCATGGATGACAAAAGAAAAAAAATAAAGTTATTAACAAAGGAGAAGAAACAGCTAGAACATTGTATTTCTTCACTAAAAGAATTGCTGGAATATCTTTGGACAAATAATCTTTTATCAGAAGAAGCAGCTGCAGCTATTATGGTACTTATATATGAGAACAATTTAAATGTGTATTAGTTTTAATGAAATGTGGAATAATTCAATAGTTCCTCGTTAATTTTTTTGAAACTTGTTTCTTATGTAGAATGTTAATTTAATTAGATCAATATTATTCCACATAGTATAAACATAAACGTAAGAAAAATTCACTTTTTTATTAAAAAAGTGCTGCCAACAAACTCCCCATTTGGAATAATTTTTATTTCTTTATTTATTTTATAGGAAGGCACCCCTGATGCAGTTCAACATATTTTAGAAAGACAATTTGTGTCGAGAAATGCAAAATTTACAATGGAATTGCGAGCATTTGCACTCACATTACACTATTATTCACCAAGTGCATACAATTTTGTCCGTGAAGAGTTCAATAAATTATTGCCCCACCCAGACACAATCCGAGAATGGTATATGGTTGTGGAAGGAGCACCTGGCTTCACCAAGGAAAGTTTTGTTGCAATTAAGTCGAAAGTTGAGGAGGAAGGTATTGTCATTCTCAATCTTACTGTAGATGAGATGTCCATACGACAAATGGTTCAGTATGTGCAAGGTGTATATTATGGATATGTGGACTTGGGAATGGAAACAAAAAGAGAAAGTGAGGACGAAAAAGATGAAGCAAGAAATGCTCTTGTTTTTATGGGGGTATCACTGAAGTCACACTGGAAAATACCTCTGGGATATTTTTTAATAAACAGTCTTTCAGCCTCTGAAAGATCTCGTTTGTTAAAAAAATGTTTGGAGTTAATTAAGGAAACTGGCGCCATGTGTAGATCACTCACTTTTGATGGTGCAGCAGTAAACATGTCAATGGTAAAGGAATTGGGAGCACTGTATGATTATCCCAATAATTTTCAGCCATGGTTTTTTGATCCAAATGCTGGTGTTAAGGTGCACACATTTTTAGATGCTTGTCATCTTATAAAATTAATCAGAAATGCGTTTGGAGATAGAAAGGTTTTCTATGACTCTAATGGAAATGCAATTGAATGGGCATATATTGAGAAATTACAACAGCTGGAAACAAGAGAGGGTTTGCGATGTGGAACAAAATTGACACCGAGACATACAAACTTTCAGAATGAAAAAATGAAAGTATCATATGCTGTACAGACTCTCAGTGCAAGTGTTTGCAGTGCATTGAAATTTTGCAAGCAGCTGGAAATTCAGGGGTTTGAAAATTGTGAAGCCACTGCCAATTTTTGCTTGATTTTTAATAACATGTTTGACATCCTAAACTCTAAGCATTTATTATCAAAGACAGAATTGAATCGTGGCTTATCTTCAAACAATTTTGACAATGTCCTTGAGATAATTCAATTTTCTATTGACTATGTAAGTAAGTTAAAAGATAACTTTGGGAAACTAATAATAGAGTCGAAAAGAAAAACGGGATTTTTAGGCTTCATTATAAGTATGAGAAGCTTAATCAATTTGTATAAAGATTTAGTGGTAGGGCAATATTTAAAATATATATTGAGCTACAAATTGAGCCAAGACCACTTGGAAATATTTTTTGGGGCCATTAGGCAGCGAGGTGGTCACAACAACAATCCATCCCCCTACCAATTCAGAAGTGCCTACAAAAGGCTATTAGTAAGAAACCAAATACGAGCCATAAAAAATGGCAATTGTCATCTTTTAGATGGCACTGCTATTTTACATGTAGGGAGCGGTACCAGAATATGTGACAATGACACATTAATTGAAGACATAAATACTATTAATCTGTCAGAAAGAGACCATGATTATTGTTCTTCAATTATTGGAAATCTATCCCCGTACAAAGAACATGTGGTCAACTACATAGCAGGTTTTGTTGTGAAACAAATTGAAGCCAAGATCACATGTTCAGTTTGTAAAAAACAACTGAAATCCACAACTTCAAATTCTATATTATTAAATTTAAAAAAACGAGGAAGTTTAACAATGGCCAAGCGAGATGTTATAGACATTTGCAAAATAATGGAGACCATAATTTGCGAAAACAAAAATATTGTATTTAAGAAAGCAAATGTTGTCAATTATTTGCTGCTACTTTTGTTTCGCAAAAATATTACAAATATTTTCAATAATCCCGACATGAACAATCATTGTATTTCTCAGGGATTACTAGATAATCACAAAATACAATTGATAAAGGCGATAGCGGGAATGTATTTAAAAGTCCGCTTGCATCACGAAGCAAAACTGGTAAATTTTGCTTCAAAACAGGCCAAAATAAGAAGTAAATTAGTAAAATACATTTTATTTAATAATGAGTAACTAAGATTACATTAAATCACCAATATTTAATAATAATGTTAATAAATTTATACCACAGCTGTACGTCTTTTTTTTTTCGTTTTAAGAATAGAATAGAATATCTTTATTCTTGCTCTCAACATTGTGCATGCAAATAAATACAATACGATTCTCTATTTATGTTAGAAACGTTCGTGGCAACAAAAACTTTTGACTATAAGAAAATTGTATTATGTCATTTTTCAAGAGTTTCGCCGGTGTGAATGATAAAGAAATAGTACGAAAATAGGAAAGTCGACAGTCAAATTTATTCTAACGATCTTGTCCGTGTAATATTTTAATCTTAACATTACAAATCATTTTGGAGATTGCTTAGAAACTTTTCATTTGCCACTTGTTAAAAAACTCGAGTTATAATTCTCATTTATAGCAATTTAAATCAGTGCGCCAAATTTTCAACCAATGTTAACAGTCGCTAGAATTAGAAGAAGATAACACTAGTATGTAGTGCACATTACAACGAGTAAGAGAAAGACAGAAAACTGAAAGTATGTCGACACTATTTTCATACATGTTGTTCCACACTTTGCTGCCTATAGCCGTATCTAGGTTACTAAGAAATCTCTGGGTGGCACCCCTAGTAGAGCGTTGAGTGTACGCCATTGCTGTGGTGAATCACGTGGTTGAGTGTGAGCGTGCGAAAGTGGGCTCGGGGCCCATACATTGGCAACAATCTTCCCCGCTAAACTCTGGTGGTTATAATAAAGGTAGGTGAGTTTACTTATTCATGTGTCAGCTTCGATCTAGCCTGTCATTTTTTTTTTTGAATTGTAAAATAGCCGCGAATAAGTGCTTTCAATGCCTTTACGTTCAATATGAATATTTTCAAATTTTGTGTCGTGACGGCGTTTACTAATAATAATAATTTGTAAAATGGCAACGTTATTTTTATAACGAATTTTGTAAGTACAAAGTATAACAGTAAAAATATAGTTTCGGTTGTATTGCAAAATTTGAAAATTTTCAGTTTTTCAGAACAATGTTTTCGAACTTTGAAGATTTTCAAAATTGATTTTTGAAAACTTGTTGC